GGACCCTCCAGCCACTGGGACCCAGTCTCAGGCCTCCGGCCACTGGCTGCTGCCCACTCCAGAGCGCCTGTTTCCAGGTACCTGGGGGCCTCACTCCCAGCATGAATCCAACAGGAGCCTGGTTCTCGGGAGTCCTGGAAAACAGGCAAGGGGCTCTACACGGACCGCACTGGAGGCCACAGGCAGCACCCTGGGTTCACTCCCACCCCTCACCCTGCCCCCTGCTGTGACCCAGAGCCCAAACAAGGAGCAGCTCAGTGGGGGGCTGGAGAGACCACCAGACACTCCTGTGTGGGGTCCACCCCCACCCAGGGCCAGAGGCAGCTCTAGGAGACATATCCCCCGCGCTGGTGTGGACAGGTGGGGAGCCAGGCACACTGCCCCAGCCCGGCTCTGCATCTCTGCAGGACCTCCAGTGGCAGCAGGGGCCCTGGCACAGCTGGCACAGGGCTCCAGACGGCCAGGAGGCACTGTGGCTGTTAGTGTCCATTTAGTGCCCATCGCTACCTGCCTGAGAACTCCGTTCCCATCAGCATGAGTGTGGATTTCCCCTGTGGGACTACGGCTTATTGCCCACACCTGTAAGAGCACCAGTGTCCTCAACCCAGAGACCGAGCAGCAGTAAATGCCCCCAGTGCCCAGCTGGAAGGGACACAAGGCCACTGAGAGCCAGCACCCCAGTCCCCACCAGGCCCAGAGCTGGTTCTGCTCACTCCTCCAGCCACAACTAATGAGGCCGCCTGGGACCATCCTCTCAAGTCATTGCAGCCACAAAACCCACAGGAAAAAACAAATCCCAGGAAACCCACACACACTGCGCCAAAGAATGATCCCCCCAACACACACACACCACCCCCACCCCATGGGGGACGTACTGCAGGATCCCCAGCAAAACCGAGTCCGGAGGCCTTAGGAAACTAGGAACCCAAGATGGATGGCAGGAAGGCTGCTGGGGCTGGCAAGGCCCTCGGACACCTCCCCATTAGCCTGCAGACCTGGGGGACATGGGCCCCACATGGGGCCCACCTGCCCCACCGTGAGCAGTGCTGTCTGTGTCCAGGCCACCACTGTGGACTTAGTGCAAAAAGGGAGGAAGGGGTGTCCCCCGCGGCACCCCTGCACCTCTCAGTGGGTAAGCAGAAGCCATAAACAAGGCCCCACAACCTCACAGGACGGGGTGGTACAGGGGGCTCCCACTGTTCCCAGGCCTGCTGAGGAGCAGCTCTAGGTGAGCTCGGCACCCCTGCTCCATCAGGGTGTATCAGTCCCCAGGCACATCCCTCCAGCCAGTCTGTGTCAGGATGGATGTTCTTTGAGGGGGGCCAAGCGTTTCTTCCAGGTACTGGCCAAGGGGGTGAAGAAACAAAGTCCCCTGGGACTTGTGCAGAGCACCAAGCAAGCCCAGGGCTGGGGAAGCAGCATGTATGCACCAAGAGTCCTGCAGTGAGAGGCCACACCTATTCCCATTCACACCAGGCCTCCCTGGGGGCACCCTGCATGGTAGGGACCCCTCAGAGCAGGGAGGGGATGTGTGGAGAGAGCACCCAGCAGGGAGCCCCGGCCCAGGAGAGCAAGCACAGAAGGCGGGGCAGGCCTGCTGACACCCCCTCTGCCACCACACAGCGCCACACCGACCTCCACAAACAGGCCCTGTAGTCAGAGCCCCAGGCGCCAGCCATGGCAGCTCTACCTGCAGCAGAGAAACGAAGGTCTGGGCAGACGCAGAAGGTCTTGAAATCCATGAAACACGAGCAAAACACTAAGCCTAGAGGAGGAAAAAGCACTCATATGGCACCTGTCCACAGGGCGCCTGGTGCTGCAAGGCGGCCACCTTTTCCTCCAGCTCTTGAATCCTGCCCTGAGCCCGCTCCCGATCGGCCCTTTCTGAGGTGAAGTCATCCTTGTAAGCGAGGATCTGCAAAGACAAGAGGCCAGGCGTCAGAGTGCCGCACAGTTTCTGCTTGAGGAAGGACAAAGCCCCGTACAGCGCCTTCCGCCCAGGGCCACTGCGCCCGCCACTCAGCCTGCAGGCAGATGCTGCCTCACAGCTGCCCAGCACCTAAGGGGTGGCCACCTGCTGCTCCAGCATCTGCACGCGCTCCAGTGCACCGTCCCGGGCCCTCAGCGTGGCCGCCAGCTCCTGCCTCATGGACGCACAGTCGTGCATCTTGTCCTCCAGCTGCCTATTGAGCCGGGAAATCTCCTTCATCAGCTCAGGAGGGGAGGGTCCAGTGGGCTCACGGGGGCCCTGCAGTCCCCTCAGCTGCGCATGGAGGCCCCTCACATGCTCCTCCCTGCTGGCGTCGTAGCGTTGCCACCTGGCGTTGAGGTCTTCGACCTGATGAGAGGACCAGAGAAGCTCACACGTACCCACAGGGAAGGCAGCTGCAACCTTTCCTCTCAAAGCAATGCCAAACTAGGAAGTTATTTGCAATAATTAGTGAGTTCTCCCCTTTGCACTTTGTACAAGGGGACCCAGGGACCAGCACACAGACCTTAGGCCTGGTGGCAACGTCCCCAAGGAACCGTCCGCACACGAATGTGGAGCGTCTTTCCTGCCTCACCAGCAGCACTTGAGAGTAATTCTCGCACCTCCTTCACTGACACAGGAATTGACTTGAGGGACAGAGCAAGACATGCACTCTGTCCATCTCTAGGCACACAGGCCAGGTCTCTGGGGAGCATGTGTCTCAGCCAGAATGGCCTGGTGGGACACCCCCAAGCTCTGTCAGGGAAGGGACCCCCGACAGGTCCCGAGGGATCAGACACTCACGTGAGTCACCCTCTGCGTCAGCAGCTGGTTTTCCTCCTGTAACTTCTCCATGGCAGCCTGGACAGAGGCAGCCCTGGCTGTACATTCTGGCTGCATAAGAAAGGGACCGAAGGCACCATGTCACCAAACATGACTGTTGTGTGCAGCAAGAGGGCACTACGCCAGGCCTGGAGACTGAGGTGGCACATGGCCACTGAAGCCCACACCATGGCAGGTGTGGAGAGGAAAGAACTCGTGGCTCCCCGAAGGTGAGGGAGGGGTCCCCCCATCCTGGCCAGCTCCCCCTGCCACACACCCGATCTGCACCCTGCAATTCTCCATCACCACAGAAGTCAGGAGGGCAGGAAGCTTAATCCTTTGCTTCTCCAGAGCACACGGGGCCATGCCTGCCAGGGGCAGGTGTCACCTCCCTTCGAGCCCACACCACCGCCACATCTGCAGACAGCCGGGCGACCTTGGCGATCATGTGCACAGCAGTGCGAACTTGGCCAGGGTCAGGGATTCACACCTGGAAGCCACACCACAGACCAGTCCTGGCAATGGTGGGCAGCCCTGAGTGAGAACCTCAAGTCCATCTGATCCCTAGAAATCCATGCACTTAGCGCAGTGGGCTGTATGTCGGTCACATTCTTTTTGAGAATTCCCCTGGGATGATGAAGTGTGTCCTCACCCAGCAGGCACTGGGAAGCGCCGATGACTCACCAACTCCTCAGCTAAGAAGTAATGCTGATTACTGCCACCAGCTCCTGCCACTGGGCCCAGGCCTGCCGCAGCAGTCATCCTGTGTGACTGCTTTCAAACCCCCGGGGGGAAATGATACAGTGACTCAAAACGGGAGAGGCACACTCGCCTCCTCCCAGCACCTCTGGTTTCTGCAAGACGCTAATGTTCTTTCTGAGGTTTTCTTTTCAGGGGATCTACCCTGTGGAGACAGGTGGTTCTCATGTCAAGGTTTTCCAGCGGGCCCAGTGAGTGACGGACTCTCTGGCAAAGCCATTGCTAAGGAGCTATATGACCACCCCTGGGCGTCACAGGACACGCAACCTCAGAGAACCTCCTGGAAAGGACCCAAGCGAGAGGCCCGCATGGGGCAGCACAGGTGAGGTGGGCCCCGGCAAGGTGCACAGCAGGCAGACTGCTACACCACGCCCACAGGCCGGTGGGGACAGCCTCAGCCCATCGCTGCTGCCCCAAGTCATTTCCTGGGTACACAACCCGTGGACTTTACGTCATGGATTCCCACTGCTGAACCCCACGTTCCCTGCCCCCAATCAGACCCTGTACACAGCTACAGCCCAGAAGTGACCTGTCCTGGAGGCCCGCCTTCCACCTAGCCTCCGCACTGCTCTCTCCCTGCCGGCACCCGGCTAGAGGTCAGTGTCCAGCACACATAAGGGCAGGGGCCCCAACGACATGCAGGCATCCTAACTGGCAGCTGTGGGGTGGTGCAGACAACCACGACCAGCTTCGGGGACAGCAGCTCCAGCTCTGCAGGAGCCTGTGGCCAGGCCAGCCCTGCGGCACTGGGACGCATACAGCCTGCAGCGGGCTAGTGCTGCCGGTGCTCCTGGTGCTGTGCGCGGTTGGGGCCTGGCCCCTGCAGGGGTGCCCCTGCCTCGCAGCAGGTGGTTCCCTCCTCCACCCAACACGCCAGGACTGCATTGGCTCAGAGCAGCCCCTGCTCTGCCTTCCTGTTCTCAGTCAAGGCTGATGAGCCCAGAATGCCGCCTCCCCACCTGCACAAGCAGCCACCTGCAGGAGCAGTTGGCCTGCTCTCCGTCGCACTGCGAGTACTCCGGCATTGCGGACGACACTCCTGGGAGGCCGGGCTCTGCTGCAGCAGGTGACTTGTCAGTGAGCACGGAGGGGGACTCTAGGCGCCCCAGTCTCGTGACTGCCGAGGGGTTGTGACATCCGCAGGCAGTGCCCTCTGCCCCCACAGAGCCCTCACCACGGTGCGCTCACACCATGCAGGACCCACCTGAGGGCCTTTCTCCCCAGGGTCACACTGTGCATGCTGGCGTTCATCCAGACGCTTGGCCAGATGCTGGCACATGTGAGCAGTGGCCGCCAGGGCCCTCCGCAGCTGCCGGGTCTCCTCCGCCAGGGAGCGGCACAGAACGTGGCTGGCAGCCTGGGCCCGCTCCTTCTCTGCGACGCTTCTCCGCAGCAGGGCGACTTCCTTCTCCCGCTCGTGCTCTGGCTGGCCCAGCAGCTGCTGCATCTCCCTTTCTTTCTCTTCCAGTTGCTCAGAAAGTCTCTCGATTTCCTAAGTGGAGGATTTAAAAGCACAGTTTATTTGATTGAAAGAAGCAGGCTTTCATAAAGCAAAAGAAAGCCCTGCAGAGATGCCCGTCACTGGAACACACTCATTTGGAGGCCAGCTTCCGGACTAATAATTAACTTTGGAGTTTTCAGCCTATAATGTTCTATCTGAAACTTCATCTAAAATCCTGTTTTCATGAGCAACTTCATAATTTTAGATTTTACGTCATCAAATCACTAAGTATGGCAATTCCAAACACTTCTTGAAAGCAAGGGTAGAAACTCTGCTGTCGTCAGCAGCCCCAAAGGTATGTCCTAATTCCTGGTCTCTGGAAATGGCCTTTGCAAATGTAATCAGTAAAAACGAAGTCACATTGGACTAAAATGGACCCTAGTCCAATGACCAGTGTCCTTATAGAAGAGGGAAGTTAGGACACAGCCACAGAGAAGGCCATGTGAAAACAGGTGACACGCCTGTAAGCCGAGGAGCACCACGCACTGCAGGCAGCCACCAGCTCAGAGGGGCAGGGAGGACCCACCCGCAGAGCCTAGAGGGACCCGGTCCTCTCCACCCCTTGATTTGGGGCTTCGGGCCTCTAGAACCTGTGAAAACCACAGTTCTACTGTTTCAAGCCGCCCCATGTGTGGCACTTTATTACAACAGCTCCAGGAAATGAATACACACAGCCCAATCGTTTCTTTAAAACAGGTCCTTAACATGAAAGTTTGCTTTATACCCGGCCTTAATCTCGTGCTTTGCCATTTTCAAAGAAATCTCAAGCATCAGCTGTGTGAAGGGGGTAAAGCAGGATGAACCAGTCCATCCCACAAATGAAAAAACAGCTTCAGAAAGTCAGGGACAAGGCTGTGCCCCCGTCCCCATGGGCAGAGGCAAGACAAGGACCTGGCCTCCGCGGGGTCTGGCTCATGGCCCCCCACATGTGTGCGGAGGAGGGGCAGACTCCAGAAACCCACAGCCGCCCCCACAGGGGAACAAAGTACTGGTGGGCCACATTACTAAGGGAATCCTGAATCATTGTTCTCCTAGCTGCTTAGAAGCTAAGATAAAAATATATACATGGTCATAAAAGCTCATCCATACAAGAGATGAAATGAAAATTCAATTCCTTTCTTCCCCACCAGCCCTCCATTGCAACTTCTCTCTCCAGAGGCAACTGTGAACACTCTTTGGGCACATGCCTTTCCAGAATGTTCATGAGCACAGTGGATCCCACAACATAGTAATTCACCTCATTCCACAGGGCAGGAGACCTGTTTCTTTGTTTGTTTTTTAAGATATCACTGATATACAATCTCATGCTCAGACTTCACATGAGCAACATTGTGGTTACTAGATTCCCCGTTATCAAGTCCCCCCCACATACCCCATTGCAGTCACTGTCCATCAGCATACTAAGATGCTATAGAATCACTACTTGTCTTCTCTGTGTTATACTGCCTTCCCCGTGCCCTCCACCCCCACATTGTGTGTGCAAATCATGCCCTTTAATCCCCTTATCCCTCCCTTCCCACCCATCCTCCCCAGTCCCTTTCCCTTTGGTAACTGTTACTCCATTCTTGGGTTCTGTGAGTCTGCTGCTATTTTGTTCCTTCAGTTTTTTCTTTGTTCTTATACTCCACATATGAGTGAAATCATTTGGTACTTGTCTTTCTCCACCTGGCTTATTTCACTGAGCATAATACCCTCTAGCTCCATCCATGTTGTTGCAAATGGTAGGATTTGTTTTCTTATGGCTGAGTAATATTCCATTGTGTATATGTACCACATCTTCTTTATCCATTCATCTACTGATGGACACTTAGGTTGCTTCCATTTCTTGGTTATTGTAAATAGTGCTGCAATAAATATAGGGGTACATACCTCTTTTTGAATCTGGGATCCTGCATTCTTAGGGTAAATTCCTAGGAGTGGAATCCCTGGGTCAAATGGTATTTCTATTTTTAGTTTTCTGAGGAACCTCCATTTTGATTTCCACAATGGTTGAACTAACTTACACTCCCACCAGCAGTGTAGGAGGGGTTCCCCTTTCTCCACAGCCTCGCCAGCATTTGTTTTTTTTTTGTCTTTTTTATATGTTGGCCATCCTAACTGGTGTGAGGTGATACCTCATTGTGGTTTTAATTTGCATTTCTGTGATGATTAGCCATGTGGAGCATCTTTTCATGTGCCTGTTGGCCATCTGAATTTCTTATTTGGTGAAGTGTCTGTTCAGATCCTCTGCCCATTTTTTAATCGGGTTATTTGCTTTTTGGGTGTTGAGGTGTGTAAGTTCTTTATATATTTTGGATGTTAACCCCTTGTCGGATCTGTCATTTATGAATATATTCTCCCATACTGTAGGATGCCTTTTTGTTCTACTGATGGTGTGTATCCTTTGCTGTACAGAAGTTTTGAGTTTGATATAGACCGATTTTTGCTTTTGTTTCCCTTGCCCAAGGAGATATGTTCTGGGGAAGAATCCTTCCTTGTCTCCTCCAGCTTCTGGTGGCCACCAGTCATCCTGGGCTTGTGAAGACATCACTCCAAATCTCTGCCTCCATCTACACCTGGGCACCTTGTAAGGACACCCATCACTGCATTAGGGTATGAACTCATTTTAATTTATTACATTTACCATGACCTACAACAAGTAAGGTCACATTCACAGTTCTAGGTGGAAATAAATCTGGGGGGACACTGTCCAGTCCCCTTTCTGTCCCCTCCTGGAGAGAGCTTATTGGGCACCAATGTGCAGGTTGTAGCCCAGTCCATGGCTGCCCATCTAACCAGCAACTGACAGGACTGTGAAGAACAGGAGCAATCAGGGATTTTAAGAAAGACCAGGTCACTGAGCCTTTAATGTAAGCACCAGACACTTCAGATGTACCCTAGGGAAGTAGTGAAAGGAGAGAACATCCTTCCTCCCTTGTGGAAGAGTTCAGGGAGCAAGGCAGACAGAGAGAGACAAAAACTAACAGCCTGGAGAATTCTGGGAAGATGGGGTAGCAGGAGGTGGCACCAGAAAACAGTCCCCACCCAGAACAGAGCTGCACTGGCAGCATGTGTCTCTCTTGGAACTCTGGAGTCTGTTGGATGCTTCCAGCTTCCAAAGGAGGATTTAACACACTAAGGTCAATTTCCATCAATTTCAAATATATCCATCCCCAGCCAGCCATACACCTGTTTCTGGAGCAGCTTGCACACAGTTTGCAGGAAGCAGGTCGGTCAGAAAAGAGCCCATCCTCCAAATACTAGGGATCTGCGCTCTGACAGCTGATCGCTGCTCCTGATCACAGAGGCAGCGGCCATTGCGCAAGCCCCGCCCGCCCCCTACAGCTGAAGTGACTTCTACGGCTGGTGCCCTTTCCCCCTTTTATTTTTCTCTTCTTCCCATTTTGGGCACTACATATTAAAGTCTAGGACATTCAAATGCAACTACATCCAAGGGGAAATTCAGAGTGATCACACACGCCCAGGGACAGGCTCTAACTGCGAACCTGAGAAGACCTTACATTCCACCGCAGGCCGATCCTCAGCACAGAGACAGCCTCCAACATGCACAGGAAACAAGACCAGTAACACACAAGAACAGCGAAGCCTGGGAAGAGGGAGCACCTGATTGCCAGAGTTCCCACATGGTCAGATCCAAATGTCCAGGTTTTGACAAAAAAATCACAAGGCAAACAAAGACCCAGCAAAATATGACCCATTCCAAGAGAAGAAGTAAATAAACAGAAAGTGTCCCCAATAAAGACCTGACGGCAGATCTTCTAGACAAAGACTTTAAAAAAATGATCTTAAAGGGACTCAAAGAACTACAAGAAGATGTGGAGAAAGTCAAGAAAGTTATGTAAGAACAAAATAGAACCATGAATAAAGAGAAAATCTAAAAAGTGAGGAAACTGATAAAGGACAGCCTCACTGACAGGCACTGGGAGGCCTGAAGGGGGAGCTGTCCCACCCACCACTCCTGGTCAGCTGCAGATACCACTTGAAGGAAAGGAGAAAAACCTTACAACTCACACCATTTTGACTACTTTACCACCCAAAAGGAGTGAAGAGTTCCTGCCTCCCACCGCCCACCACAGCAGCACAGCCATGAGAGACTGTTACAGCCATGACAGCCAACTCGGCCAATGAGCAGCCATGACACATGGGCCTCCCAATTTCCTCCAATGGACTTCCTGCTTAGAATAACCTCCCCCTTTCCCTTATAAAAGAGCCTCCTCCCCCTTGTCCTCCAGACAGGTTTCTAGTTTTGCCATAGCTTGTTTGCCCTGTATTGCTGCTGTTACGAAATAAACCCATTTTGCTGGTAAAAAAATAGCTGACAGTTTTATTTTTTCACTAACAAAACTAAAAAATATGGAGCTTTTGACTACAAGAACTGAAATGAAAAATTGACTCAAGAGATTCAAAAGTAGCTATGAACACACAAAAGAGTCAGCACACTTGAAGGGGGAACAATGGATGTTGTAAAAGCTGAGGAACAGAAAGAAAAAATATTCTCTAAAAGTGAACACAGCCTAGGGGACCTGTGGGACATCACCAGGTGGGCCAAGAGACACACCACAGGAGTTCCAGAAGAAGAGAAAAAGGCAGAAAAACTCTGAAGAAAAAATGTTTGCAAACTTCCCAAACTTGATGAAAGACATGAATATAAAAATACAGTATGTTTGATGAACTCCAAGTAAGATTAACTGAAAGAGACCCACACCAAGACACACTGTGATCAAACTTTCAAAAGATGGAGACAATCTGAAAAGCAACAAGAGCAAAGCAACATGTCACACACGATGGCGCCTGAGGAGGAGGATCAGCAGAGTTCTCATCAGAAACATGGGAGGCCAGAAGGCAGTGGGCTGATATATTCAAAGTGATTTAAAAAAAACAAAAAACCTGTCAACTGAGAATCCTACATACAGCAAAGCTGTCCTCCAAAAGTGAAAGAGAAATTAGGACATTCCCAGATAAACAAAAGCTGAGGGAGTTTGTTAGCACTA